ACAATGTTTCCATTCTCATATAGTCCTCATAACCACAGAACCCAACTGTAATTGTCAGCAAACCCACACTTTATACATATAGGAGATAGTTAAATGCTTATAGTCATAACACATATTTGGAAAACACAAACCCACTTCAATGAAGTACCTCTCAGTTTATCAAGAATTGCACAACAGAACTAGGTACGAATGGTTGCATTGGTAAGGCAAAGAAGATTTGACCCTTTGTTTCTGTAACAGAGTTCCTGACCAGAGCCCTGTTACTTGGGGAAAATCCCCGCAGCTGGCAGTCATGATACCCAGGCAGGGGCAGGGGTGGGGGGAGATTCCCCATGCCACCAGTAAGCCAATGGGACCCAGCTTCTGGGAATATAGGGAGGACGAGGCCCTGGAAAAGATGCCTTCGGGCACTGAGAGAGAGAGAGGTTGCCCAAGACCCCAGAGAAAGACGGCCCCTAAAATGCAGAGCTGAAACCCAGAGAAACGCGGAGAAGGGACTGTACAGCTGCCAGATCAGTAAAGACGCTCAATACCTGCAACGGAACTCCAGCCGCCTTGGTGAGTTAGAAGAGGGAAAAAGTTGCAGGTCTGGGCAGCGACAGAGCGAGGCATCCCACAATACAGACTCGGTTCCCATTTGGGACCCGAAAGGGAAGCAGGCAACAACCCCAGAGCAAAGAGGTAGACATCCACGACCCTCCGTGCCAGCGCGGGCAGCGAGGGAGCCCCTGGAGATGAGCCGGCACAAACTGCAGGGAGGCGGAAAGAGACGCAGTGAGCCTCCGCCGCCAACAAGCCAATTAGCAGGCAATAAGCCGAGCCCAGGCGGGAGCGGCTCATACCCAGGTGGGCTGGGTCAGGACTTTAAGGTTCCATTACCCGCAGAAGGGAGACAGCTGGGACTGCTCCTTCACTGTAATTGGTGCAGGATAAAAGGCACCACTCACGCAAGCTGCTAAGGAGGCAGTTAGTACCACTGGTCTCCAACCGGTATTTACCCTTAGAACTGAGAAGCCGGTGATCCTCTCCGGAACACAAGGGTGACTGAAGGGGCAAGTGGGACAGGCTGCTGCCTGTGGTCTGGGCCACTGTAAAAGAAAGACGAAAGAATAAAAGCACCTGCAATCACGTGATGGGTCAAGCGTTATAACTCAGCAGATACCAACTAACATTCCATCTCTTTCCTCCCTTAATAAGATCAAAGTCATGGCAGGCGAGAACCAGAGGAATGGGCGGTACCCTGCAGACCTGATAACAAACTGGTGCATTAGCCGGGAAGCAAGGGCTCCATGACAGAAGCTATGGACACAGGCTCCCACCGATTGGCAACAAGTTCACAACCTGATGTTAAGACTCCTCCAAGGCCAGCAGGCACAGCTTGAGTAGATGGTAAGGATGCAGACCCAAGAGGCGGAGGTGAGAATCCGGCTGTTTGCATGCCAACAAGATCTGTGTGAGAAGATTGAGGTGCAATAGATGCTAATGGTACAAGAAGGCGGAGGCACGGGGCTGCCTTGGATGTCGGCTGAAGATGATGTAGAAGCCTATCTGCAGTCATTTGAGAGAGCGGCGATGGCTGCTAAATGGGACCCGGGAAGTTGGGCAGCAAGGTTGGGGCCCCTCCTCATCGGGCTAGCACAAGCTGCCGCCCTCAGAAGGGCAGAGGCCCGGGACTATAACAAGGTTAAAGAAGTGGTTTTATACCATTTGGAGATCTCCCCAGAAACATACCAACACAAATTTAGGGCACGGAAGGGCCCCGAAGTAGGACGGCCTCGATTACTGACTCAGACCCTCCAGGACTTTGCTGAATGCTGATTACAGCTGGAGGCACACACTATCCAGGAACAAGTGGACGTGATTGTTCTGGAACAGTTCTTGGTGGACCTCATGGACAGCTCCCAGAGATGGGTACGATGCCACCAGCCAAAAACCACAGAGGAAGTGCTATGGCTAGCCGAAGGTTACGTGTCGGCAGAAGGGGAAGGGGAGATTCCCAAAAGAAACTGAGTCAGCGGCCCTGCTCCGAGTCTGCGACAGAGCATTGCTGCACCACCACGACGCGGTGAGAGCACACAGAGGGAGGGACGTGCATGAAGCTACCGGGAGCTAACCTGCTATCGCTGTGGAGAGAAGGGCCACATGTCCCGGTTCTGCCCTAGGCCGTCCCAGGCCAAAACCACAATGGCCGAAAAGATGGACTGTAGTTTTGGGCTACACAGAGGTCCAGGCCAAAGGAGCAATCCCATGGTGGAAGTAAGAATAGGCAACACAATTATACCCACAGTTGTGGACACAGTCTGCTCCCAGTTGATGATACGCAAGGAACTGTTCCCCCCACATCTGGGGAGCCCCGGAAGCCCGGTATCCATGATATGTATGCACAGTGATGCCTATACATATAAGCGGAAGAAGGTAAAACTCTCGGTGCTGGGGCGCACTGAAGAGATCCCCGTGGGGCTGGCCGAGACATTACCTTGCCCCATGCTGTTGGGTACAGATTGGCCACACCTAGAAGAAGTTATCTGCCAGCTGATTATGGAGACACACAAAGAAGAGGAAAGGAATCTCCAGGCCCTTTGTTTCGGAGACCCGGAGGAAGACCTGGATGTGGACCGAATTATAGGAGAAGGGGACTTCTGTGAGGAGCAATGACAGGAACCCTTATTCAGGAATATATGGGAATCCCAGCTCGCCAGAACAGAGGAAGAAACCAGAGATCCACAGAAAACCATCCAGAACTCGCAATATGAGGTAAGCAAAGGCCTTCTTTACCGGGTAGAGAATCAAGAGGAGGGAGGAGAGAGATCCCAGATCCTGGTGCCCCAGAAATATTGGGTGGCCCATGCTCTGCCCATGTGGGGGGCACCTAGGAAGAGATAAGACGGAGGCCAGACTAAAACACAGGGTCTTCTGGCCCAGCATATGTAAGATGGTGGAGAAGTTCTGCACGGAGTGCCCAGAGTGTCAAAAAACCGGGGGAGTAAGGCTAGCAAGGGTTCCCCTGATACCAATGACTCTGATTGGGCATCCATTTGATCGAATTGCACTGGACATAGCCAGGCCCTTCCCACGTAGCAGGACGAGGTATCAATTCATTCTCGTGATCGTTGACTATGCCACCCGATTCTTGATGGACCTCACGGGTCTGACAACCATCTAGACCCAAGCCATCAAGTCAAAATGAGAGCACTGACTGCCGAATTTCATGATGTATTCAGAGAAGTACCAGGAGAGGCTAGCGGGGGTCCACCACCATATTGTGACCCCACCAGGCTGCATGACTAGAGATCACTGGAGGAGGCTACCTCGCCACCTGTGGCCGACCGTCAGGCAGGAAATCAAGCAAATGAAAAGACTGGGGATTATCAAAGAGTCTAAAAGCCCCTGGAGAAGCCCCATAGTGGTGGTGCCAAAACAGAACGGGTCAATTCACTTTTGCATTGACTACTGGAAATTAAATTAAATTGCCGAGTTTGACGCCTTCCCGATGCCCCAAATTGATGACATGCTAGAGAAGGTGGGACAAGCTCGATATATATCCACCCTGGATCTCACCAAAGGGTACTGGCAGACCCCAATGGCTGTAGAAGATAAAGAAAAAACACCGTTTGGCACCCCGCGGGGCCTCTTCCAATTTAAAAGAATGCCATTCAGACTACATGGGGCTGCTGCCTCCTTTCAGTGGTTAATGGAACGCACACTTGCCCCACACCAGGACTACACGGTGGCCTACATAGATGATATTATTATTTTTTCGCACAACTGAGAAACCCATCGTTGACACCCTCGGCGGATATTGGAAAGTCTCAGGCGGGCGGGGCTCACCGCCAATCCCAAAAAATGCGCGCTAGGAAAAAGAGACACGCAATACCTGAGATTCTTAATAGGCCAGGGGGTCATAAAGCCGATGACCGAAAAAGTGGCTGCCATAAAACAGCACCCCTTACCGAGAACATTGAAGCAATGACAGTGCTTCCTGGGTTTTGCCAACTACTATTGGCGTTTTATCCCCAACTTTTCAGAGAAGGCAGCGCCACTGACGGAATTGACGAAGGGGCGTCACAACCCAGTCCCGTGGGATTCAAGAGCTCTTGGTGCCTTCAAACAATTAAGAGAAGCCTTGTGTCAGCACCCAGTTCTGTATACACCTGACTTCCAAAAACCTTCTTTTTACAAACGGATGCCTCATCCGTAGCCCTGGGAGCTAAGCTATTCCAAAAAGAACAGGGAGCAGAAAGACCAGTGGCATTTGCCAGTAGAAAACTCAACCCAACAGAAACTCATTATGCCATAATAGAATGGGAATGCTTGGCAATACGGTGGAGCATAGAGCTCTTTCAGTACTATCTGTTGGGCAGGGAGTTTGTGCATACCACCGATCACGCTCCCCTGCAATGGTTGCGGACAGCTAGGTTGAATAACACAAGACTCATGAGGTGGTCTCTGGCCTTACAGCCATATTGTTTTTCAGTAGAGCATCGAGTGGGCAGAAGGAACAAGAATGTAGATATCCTATACCACCCTGGAGATGACCACGACGAGGACACGCAACCCAACGAAGACAACACGGAGAGAGAGCAGGTACCAAACATATGCCTTATTACCTTCTAACCCAGGCAAGGGTTTCTGAGGAGAGGTTTGTTTTCCGTTTTCTCTCCCCCCTCTCATTTCTTCTGTTCTCTTTTCTTTTTTTGCTCCTTCATTTCTGCCCCCTTTTGGGGTTCCCCTGTGTTCCCTCCTCCACGCCAGACTGTCCCTCCAGGAAGGGGGGGTGCAGACTAAGAGAACTGGGGGGAGATGTGTAACAGGGTTCCTGACCGAGCCCTGTTATTTGGGGAAAATCCCCGCAGCTGGCAGTCATGATGCCGAGGCAGGAGCTGGGGGGGGGGCGGGGGGAGATTCCCCCTGCCACCAGTAAGCCAATGGGACCCAGTTTCCAGGAATATAGGGAGGACGAGGCCCCGGAAAAGATGCTTTCAGGCAGTGAGAGAGAGAGAGGTTGCCCGAGACCCCAGAGAAAGATGGCCCCTAAAATGCGGAGCTGAGACCCAGAGAGATGTGGACAAGGGACCGTACAGCTGCCAGATCAGTAAAGACGCTCAATACCTGCAACGGAACTCCAGCTGCCGTGGTGAGTTAGAAGGGGGAAAAAAGATTGCAGGTCCGGGCAGCAACGGGGCTAGGCGTCTCACAATACAGACTCGGTTCCCATTTGGGACCCGAAAGGGAAGCAGGCAACGACCCCAGAGCAAAGGGGTAGACAGCCAGGACCCTCTGTGCCAGCGCGGGCAGCAAGGGAGCCCCTGGAGACGAGCTGACACAAACCGCAGGGAGGCGGAGAGACACGTGGCAAGCCTCTGCCGCCAACAAGCCAATTAGCAGGCAATAAGCCGAGTCCAGGCAGAAGCGGCTCGCACCCAGGTGGGCTGGGTCAGGACTTTAAGATTCCATTACCCACAGAAGGGGGACAGCTGGGACTGCTCCTTCGCTGTAATTGGTGCAGGATAAAAGGCACCACTCACGCGAGCTGCTAAAAAGGCAATTAGCACCCCGGGTCTCCAGCCGGTACTTACCTTAGAACTGCAAAGCTGGCGATCTGGAGCATGAGGGTGACTAAAGGGGCAAGTGGGATGGGCTGCTGCCTGTGATCCGGGTCGCTGTAAAAGAAAGACAAAAGAATAAAACCACCTGGAATCGTGTGACGGGTCAAGCATTATAATGCCGCGGGTACCTACTAACATTCCATCTCTTTCCTCCCTTAATAAGTTCAAAGCCATGGCACGCAAGAAACAGAGGAACGGGCAGTAAACTTGCAGACCCCAATAACAGTTTCTATAAATATGATGAGTTATTGGCAGCAAAAACAAAGTCTTTTTCCTTCCTTGCTCCCATTTACTGTGCTTAAACTAGAGGTGCACCGATACATCAGTCCTGTATCATATCTTCACTGATATAAGGAAAATTGAGAGTATTGGTAATTGCCTTTTTTTGTGTGATGTGGCCAATAATGTGGCCGATAAATGTGGAGTGCATGTGCACAGCCACAGCGCAGCAAGCAGGTGGCCAGGAGCACAGTGCTGCAGTGTGGAGAGGCTGGTAAGTCTGTTGTGGTAGAAGGGGCAAGGGAGGAGGAATAGGGCGGGGGGGCAGATTGAGGCTCCCTTGGTGAAGGAGGAAGTGGGAATGGGGCTGAGGGTGGGACAGGGGCAGGTGATGCCCAGCCGGGATGGGGTGCGGTGGGGCGGGGCAGAGGATGGAGCCATGGCTCATTCAGGGGATGTGGGGAGAGGCGGCTCCCACCACTGCATGCACCCCAGGAGGACATATGCCCCCGGATCTGTGCGTGGGGCGAGGGCAGGCTGCCACTGCCAGCTGTGGCAGGACCCGCCTGCCACTGCCAGCTGTGGCAGCACCAGGCTCTTCCCAGTGGGGGTGGGCCGGGCTGTGCTTGGGACAGTGGCAACAACACTGGGAGGTGAGGCTTGCGGGGGGCTGCAGCCACCCCAAAATTTGCCGTAGCCCCCCCCTCCCGGCCATGCTTGTGTACACCCTGAGCACAGCCTGGCCCAGCCCTCTCCAGGAAGACCCCAGTGCTGCCCCAGCTCGCTCCAGCCTGTAGCGGCAGCCCACCCTCGCCCCATGAGCAGATCCAGGGGCACACGCTTCCCCATGTTCTCCTGGGGTGCATGCAGCAGCAGAAGTCACCCCCCTGGATGAGCCACGGCTTAGTCCTGTGCCTCGCTCTGCTCCGCCCTGGCTGGGAAGCACCTGCCCCAGCCCCACTCCCTCCCTCACCACAGGGGCTTCGATCTGCCCTCCTCCATGCCTTTTCCCTCACCCCACCCCTTCCCCCACAACTGCCAGATACTGCTCTCCACGCTGCAGGGCTGCATATCAGAATCAGATTGGTATCGGCCGATATGACTCATGAAAAATCAGCCATCAGTGTCGGCCCAAAAAATCTCTATCTGTGTACTCCTAGCTTCAACATATATGTCTAAATGGGGGAAAAAAACATTGTTTCTTGGGGTCTATAAGGTCACCTTCAAACATCATCTTGAATGCTAGCAGAGTTTTACACCTAAACCACTGTAATTCTATCAAAATAAGGTTATAGTAGTCTAAGCAAATTAAAAGTTTCTAAAGTGTGGTTAATATGTATTTCTAGTTGAAGGAGTATTTCTGATAAGCTTCTCCTTTTATAAATATCTCCTTTCATTTATTGACAGAACTATCCTTTGTCTCCTGGCTGAGAATTTGCTGTTTCCAATTAGTTATTATCAAGGCATTGAGGAGATGCTGTGATGCTAGTGCACAAACCTTTCACCTCTGAATCTAGCCGTAAGCCACAAATGAATATGGATTTTCAGAGATTGCTACTACAAGGTCTTGAATCAATTGTCTGCATTATATATCAATCACTTTTCCAGTCATGTACTTTTCAAATGAATGTTTAGACCTGTAGAAGAGCAAAGTGGGTTACACATATGGCCAAAGCTGATTTTTGTCACAGCAGGGATATGCACAGCCATGCCTCAGGCAAAATATCAGAATCTAGATTCTCTAACTAAAACCTACTAGCTGGCTTAGGGCTCCTCCACACATGATGGTACCTAATGCATGATCCACTCAGTTGCACCTCCTGCCACGCTACACGTGTATGGCAGGTTGTTTGTGTGGATCACACATTAGATCTCATTGCTCCTTATTGCAGGTGCAGAGGGAGACCAATTCGGGGCAAGAAGCTCGTTCCTGTTGCTAAGAAGAGCTTGAATGATAGAATTATTGTGTGCTGTATCCTGGTTGTTTAGAGATCTTCATTTCTAATAAAAATAATAGCCAATATTTAGTGATTCACATGTTCAAGACTCCTCTTGCAAACATTAACTAAGAACAATTGCAAAAAATTGTCTGCAGCATGATTTTCAAGATTCAAAGATATGATTAATTACATGATGTGTGTATTCCTAAAATAAATAACTGAGTTCACAGTTGGTCTGCTCCCAGTGCAATTATTAACATCAGAGAAGAAATGCATAACTTCTCATATTACTCTTCATTGATCGCAGGTATTTGTAAAAGTTTGTGTTTAATAAATTAATTGAATTGTTCTTTAATGTTGGTCCAGCAAGTCAGAGATTCAGTTCAACAGAATTTCAGAAGTCCAATATGTTTGAAATAGGAGTTATTATCCATGCTTGGTTTTTTTTTTGTTTTTGTTTTTTTTTTTTTTACATAAGAATTTTATAAGTCAAATTATTAGCTGAAATTTTAGAAAGTAATATTGACAGTAAAATCAAAGGAATTGAATCCCCCGGAAGCTCCAATGTTTTCTATAAACTGTTGAGAATCAGAAATATTGGTACATTATATTATAACATTTAAGAACTATTTAATTCCATACCATACAGTCAATGTTTTTAGTATGAAATTGTTATGAAGCATGCCTTCTATATAATGATGCCAACCAGGGTTCAAATTACAGTTTGACTGTTGGGGGGTCTGCAAAAAAAAAAAATGTAAACTGGTTCACTGGAAGGAGCAATCCGATTGGAGACACCCCCCCCAAGTTATGATTTTCAAATCTTACAGGGTCTCTCATCTCTTATGTGGAGGCTTACCCCTCCCCCCACCCAAGCTGCACCCCATAATTTACAGCCTGATGCCAACAGTTCAACAGAAACAACGGTTAAAATATGCCATTAGTTTCATGTTAAAAAAAAAAACCCAAAAAGCAAATGACATAATAAATAAGGGCACCAGAACAGCTTGTATTTTGGTTTGATCGCAATTAATAATTTGCTAATAGAAATCACCATTACTCGTATTGATTATTTACATACTCCACAAATAGTCTCATTATATGGAGCATATGTATTTATGAGCATATCTGTATATATACAGGGAGCAAAGGGATGCACAATGTGATTCAAGGTGTAAAATCTCATTCATACATTTTTTTTAAATTATTTATATAAATCATAATGCAATTATTATGATAAGCACTGCAAAATTCACTTACAAAAAGATAAGTAAGTATAGTGGGTAGGACTAATTGGATTTACCTAAGTCACCCTACTGAGAAAAAGCAATGCCTGATGGTTAAGCTGCTGGGCCAGGAGTCAGAAGGACCGAGTTTTATTCCCAGCTCTACCACTGAACCACTGTATGACCTGGGTAAGTGATTTGAACTCCCTGATTCCGCTTTGGCGATGAACAATTTCAGAGAATTCCAAAGAAATTCCTGCCAGCAAAAATGAATGCCTGTCCATAGCCTTTGTCAATTTAAATTACAAGCTCCTTGGAGCAGGTTGTGTTACATGCAATGTAGATTTCCAGTGTTTAGTATAATAATGCCCCCATTTCAGCTGAGACCACTAGATGCTACAGCAATACAAATACTAAGCAGACTGTGTTAACACATTAGCTAATTATTAATAACATTTGTTAAGAACTGAAGTTCAATAAGCTAAACTACTACAAGAGCACTCAAAATTCATGTTTCAAAGTAATCACTTATGCGGGGGGTGGGGGGTAGGGGAGGTTCTAAATAAGGGCACTCATCTGCTGCCTGCATAGGCCTGTACAATAAACTATAAGCCTGATCTAGGCTGTCATCTAATTTACAATTTACTTTTATGGAACAAACTGATGCTCTCAATTTAGCAGAGGATATTTACAGAATTAGGTAGGGAATTAGTTGTCTGACCTACTATGTATGAGATAAATGGGGTAGTATTTTGTTTTGCATATTGGGATTAGGAGTGTGTGGTAGAGGGCCATGAGATTTACAGTTATAGATACTTGTACAGTGGCTTCCTTTTCAGCTCAGAGATGTGAATTATATTTCAACAGTGCATATTGTTAATGAGTTTTCAGCACAAAGCCTGATATCTCTAGGTCTATGCAGGGAGAAGTGAACTTTATCTTTCTTGAATACAGAAAAGCAGGTGGACTGATGTGTCATGGATATGGTTATGGAAACAAAGATGAACAAAAGTATAAGATACTCAGGATTTCCAAAACAGCCACTTCCATTCACATTCTTCAGTTCATCCTCTTCTATCAAGAGAACTATACATACAGCTCTACTTTTTCTATAGACAGGGTGACATTCATTGGATGTGTGTATGTATGCCCATGCACACTTCAAATACAGCAGGGCTTGGATTGGAGTTTGTCTCCTTGGTTTTCACATGTCATAGGATGGATCACCCAGCAGCAGCAAAAAATGGCCAGTCATCTGTTAGGTTTAGAGAGTCATGAGGTTTGTAGGCTACAGTCCACTTTGTCAGATGTTATCTCTGCAGAGAACAGAAATACTAAACAGAAAGAAATTACAGAATTTAAATAAAAAAAATAAGGAAAGGAGGAGGAAAAGAGGGGCCACAGCAAAGAAAGGCAAAGTTGGGTTGAAGAGATCACAGAGGATTAACAAAGCAGTTAACCCACTGAGGGATGTCATGACCCAAAAGGCATGATTGTGTGTGTGTGCTTCGGCATCAGAATTATCCACGTTAAGTTGCAGAGCATTGCACGGGAGTTTCCTGTAGCAAGAGGAAACCCCGGTGCAGGGACCAGTTTCCCGCCTTTTCTGCAGCTTCTTTTGCAGAGTGCATTGCTCGAGTTGCAAGAGGAATGCACGGTGCAAAAGAGTTCCCGCCACCGGTATGCAAATTTGTTCCCCGTGATTGGCTAGTGCTAAATTATTCACACGTGGCGGCTAGCGATTGGCCTGTTAGCTGTATAAAAGGCTTGAGCAGTTTCCACCCAAGCCGAAGAGGACTCCACATCCATCTCGTGGGGACTCTGGGTACACGGCAGGGTAATAGAGACCCTGTGTGAGATCCAGAGGAGCTTGGCGGCCTGATCCACCGCCCACCTCTTCCCGTCTTCGAGCGCGACTAATATAAGACGTATTTACGATTTCTACATTGGTGGCTTGTTAATCAAGCTTTCCAGCCTACACCACTGTCATCTCGGTGTAAGTAAACAATCTTTAAAACTACCGATACGCGTCCGTGCCTAATTCCAGAGCGAAGGCCTTCCCTCTCCACCCCCGCGTGCCCGGGCTGCTGGCCACAGCCCGCGTGCAGTGCGAAAAAGGGCTCGGGGCGCTCCTGGCCCGCACATGGCGACGAGGATGGGATCGGGAGAGGGCTCGTTAGAACTGGAATTAGTTAAGAGTTGTCCTTGGAGAAGTGGGAAGCGCGGCGTGGCAAGCGTCGCTGAATTGGATATGCATATCGGTTACCACCAGGCGGGCGGAGTGGGCAAAAGGTATGTCAGCGGACGCTTTTCGCTGAGAAGGAAGGAAGAGGGAGCTTCCGAGGGTGAGGCCCTTGGAGGGGGAGAGGTGTGTCTTCACCCCGCGGCGTTCGGGTGTATCATAGGCGATGAGTGGGTCTTGTTCAAGCCCCTCGATACCGTGTCCCTCGCCAGGGTCGACCCGGCGGGCGCGGTGGGCCTGGATCTGGCTCGGGGGTGTGCCCGTTGCCCGAGATGCGCCCAAGAAATTAAAGAACCGGCGCAGATTGATTGGTTTTCCCCCGGCATGATGGTGCCGAGATTGAGGGATCGTGGGCGTCCGTCCGAGCTCCGTGAAGACCCGGAGACAGAGGGGCACCCCGTGGAAGGGAGAGTGGCCCTGCGGGACAGCGAGGGGGGAAAGGTGGGTGCAGCTTTCCGAACTGTAACTAACTTAATGAATGAGGGTTTAAGTTTGAAGGCCCAGCTGCATGTGGCCATTCAGGCGGTCGAAGAAGCGGCTGAGAAAAGGGATCTCGGAACGCCAGCCCAAGATGGCGCCGAGCC